TTAAAAATACAAAATAGCACAGGAAGGAGGGGTGCTGCCTCCAGGGGCACCCAAGATGGTCCGCTGATTCCTCAGAGAGTGCCTTCCTCCTCCTCCCTTCCTGGGGGACAGAGAAGTTCCACTTGTCTGCCAAAATCCTGCGCCACAGAACACAGGAGACTGACCTTAACACTGAAACAAAAGCATGTGAGGAAAAGCAGAATCCAGCGGAAGGACATTTGTAGGACGAGGTGCCCCTCCTCCTGAGCTGACACCTGCTGCTGACGGGGACGCAGGAAGGAGCTGCACTCTGCGACAAGGAAGAGGCTAAGCCACTAACCCACCAGGGTCCTGGCTGTGTGGACAGGGCTGCAGACACGCCACCCCCTCCCCCGGCTGGGAACCAGAAACCCACTGGAGGTCTGTTAGCTGTGGCTGCCGAGATGACAGCTGCAGATCATCCAAGATGGCAAGACGCTAGAATGACCCGACCCACAGCAGCAGGGGAAGGCCAGATGCCGAAAACTCACCCCTCGCCCTTGAGAAGCTGCCAAGAAACCGCTCCCCCGGAACAGGAGGTGCGTGTGTCAAACGCCCGTGCTGCGCGGCACCCATCTGGATGCCTGCTTCACAGAACCTTCCAGGGAACAGAAAAACCTGGCTTCTAGCTCAGCCTTGCCACAACTTAGCCGTGTGACCTGGGGCAAGGAACAAACTTCCCTGGGTGCCCACTGCCTCCACTGTGAAAAGCAAAGGCAGGCTGGGTCCAACTTACGCCTTTAACAAGCAGTCACCAAATGCCAACCATCAACAGTCCCCTGCCGTCAGCGGGCTTACTTTCCAATTCAGATCTTTGCTGGTCATTTTTACCATGATTTTTTTTTTTTATTCTACAAAAATAACTCAATAATGACAGTGTCAACAGACATTTTTTGCCATGTGCCAGGCAAGGACTTCTGGCATTCACCTCAGAAACGGCTCCAGGTTGAGCAGTACACTATCCCTGTTTTAAAGAGAAGGAAACTGAGGCTGGAGGAGCTTAGGTAACTCGCCCAGGGTCACCAGCTACGACCGAAAGCAGCTGGAAATAGGTTCCCCTCGACCAACAGAGAAGGTTCTACTCCCTAAAACTCAAGGAGCAAGATGGCAACAGAAGGCAGTGGGGGATGCTTTCTTGTACACGAGGATGATGGAGGCAGATGGTGAGTGACGCCCAGACTCACTCTCGCCGCGAGATGCTAGGCACCCTCTTGGGTTCTCCACGCAAGGAAAAGAACCCGCAGGCTTGAGCAACACTCTTCCAGGCGGCCGAGACGGCTGCCCGAAGGGACAGAAGGGTACATGACATGACTGATCCCAATCATCTCCTTCTCTCCGACGGCTTCCCATTAAGTCATCTTTTTAGAGTAGCATGACCACTTTAATTTTTAAAAGGACAGAGGAGGAAACTCTTACATATTTCACAAAATGAAATAATCATCCGAAGAAATAGAAAGATACGGAACAGACTGATCTTCTGATCAAAATGTACTTCACTAATTAACGGCCACTAGTCTCCAAAGAGTCGCCCCTCGACTAGTTAATAAAGCCCCACTGCACTTCACGTGAGATGTGAACATTTACATCGCAAAGGGGGATCCGTGAACTGCAGGATTCAAAACCCTTCCTTTGGTCGCTCGTTAAAATTCTGATCAAAACAGATTTTTATTTATGTGATACATTACAGAATATTATGACAGTACTAATACGAAATCTGTTCCTCACTGCCAGGGGTTTTCTTTCGTATTAAGTTACAGTTTCTTTCCACTGGTCTTGTTTTAACACCTCCACGGAATATTTCTCTGGCGAGTGTTAGCAAGGAAAGGCAGCCAGAAAGCGCTGAAATGAATGTTCACTGAAACACACGCCCACATACCACTTACAAGCTCCTCACGCAGTCGCCAAGGAGGGACAGAGTTCACCTTGCCCCTGAGACCCTGCGCGCACACAGAGAAGTTTTACTGAAGGGAGATAAACAAGAAATAAATAAAGCTGGACTTAAAAGTTCTCTGTTCCTGACAGTGGGGTTTTGGCCTCCAACACGAACTTCACTCTGAAATCCCTGTGGCTGGACTCAAATTCTCTCAGAAAATCACTGTGGACCAGGAAAGTGCTTTCTCCCCGCCCCGACTCCCTATGGCCACATACCTCGGCCAATTCCCCAGTTGCTTCCTGGGGGTGCAGCCACTCCAGAAGCAACTGAAAAGGCGCCCTGAGGGGTGTGATGCAGAGACAGCTACCAGCCAGTGTCTCACAATGGGATACCGTCATAAGGGTTGGGCTAATCACCCAACCGTGGAACTTCCAAGTCCTGAGATGCTGGCTGTGGTTCTGCTCCTCACAGCCTGATGACTACTCGGCGTCACCTGCTCTCCCATAACAGAGAAGTGATACGACGTTACCCTCAGAGGCAAGCACACTGGGAGAGGCCCAGCTCTGGAGCCAGGTTGCCTGGTGGGTCCCCTACACCACTTCTCAACCTATTTGCACCTTGGTTTCCTCAATGGAGATAATACTCCTACTACCCACCTCATAGGACAGAGGTAAAGACTAAATAAGTTGATACACATAATGTCTCTACCACAGTGCCTGGCACTTCAGTTCCACTCATATCATTATAGTTGCTAGCTCGCTCACAGAACTGGTACAGGGGCCTGACTAAAGCAACAGTAAAAACAGCAGGTAACACATAGGCATTACATTGCTGCAGGTCTTTACGTACTTTACCTTTATTAATTTATTTAATCCACATAAAAACTCGATGAGATGGGGAAACGGAGTTTCAGGCAAGTTCGGTGATGTGCCCAAATTCCCAGAGCTAACGAGTGGCACCAGCAGGAACTAAAGTCAGGCTGTCGAGCTTCAAAACATTAATCGCAATGAAAATGATTAAACCAACAACAAGGGTGGTGGTGGTGATGAGGAGGTACAAGGCCTCACCCCGTGCCAGCCTGTTTTATTCTTCACAACAACCTTCTAAGGGGGCTACCGTCGCACTTCCATTTTACAGATGAGCAAACTGAGGCCGAGAGAAGGCCATTCGCTCAATGGCCCGGGACCTGGGATTCAGATGGAGATCATGGATAGGAAAGTCCTTTGTAAAGTGTGTCATAACAAACAAGGTACTATTATGAACTCCCTAGAATCCCACGGAAAGATGTCCTCCCACCACGGTTTAATGTCAGTTCACATCTGACTGTGACAGTTCACCTAAAACATCCCAGACTCCGGGTTGTGGGGGACGTTGGTCGGGGGGGGGGGGAGGATGTGTGTGTACACTCTGACAAGTTTAAGAAATATTCTGTCTCATTTTTGAGTTGAATGCATCACTGGAAAACCAAATGCCACAGTATATTAAAATGAAATATTGCCTTCTTGGTTAAAAAAAAAAGGGGGGGGGCGCGGAGTAGGAGGAGAAAACAGGTCAAACCCATGGTTTGACCAAGTCAGGGATTTTTCCAGTTTCCCTCTAGGATAATCTGACCCTCGTTCTGGGGGATCAAATGACTAACCTGGAAATTTGAAGATTCACACTTACGGAAGAAACAGCAATTCTTCCAAACCAGGAAATACTGCTTATTCTGGAAGGCTTTCTTAAATGTCAAGGATCACACAACGTTTGGAAAGCAACCTTTGATCAGTTAAGACAGTCCCAAAGTTTGTGCTCAGTACAGAAATAATCTAACCTCTTTGGCTCATTAAGTCTTATTATTTGCTTAACAGTAGAAAAAAATGCCTTAAGACAGTATTTCACTATATTTACTTAAGGGATTTGTGTTTCCTTAGAAAGAAAGAAAAGAAAGGAAGAAAGGAAAAGAAAAGAAAAGAAAAGGAAAGAAAAGAAAAGAAAAAAGAGAAAAGAAAATTGAATTCGTGGAAGAATGCATGGAAGAAAGAAATAGAAAAAAAGGAAGGAAGGAAGGGACGGAGGGAATCACATGGCAGAATCAGACTTGTAATTCTCAAAATATCATGCACAATTCCAGCGTTTTCTTCATTAGTGTGCCAAACCATTCCCCCCTTGTCACAATGACAAGGTCCCACTTCTGGGAGACCGTGCTTAAAGAAATAAACTGAATTTGCTAAAGCCCTTTATGACTTACAATCAGAAGCTTCACCTTTTCACCTTTCCTTAAAAGAATGCCAAGGCCATGAGGTGCAGATAACATCTTTCTTCCAGAAAAAAAAGTGTAATGAAAAAGTGCAAACATTACAGGTAAGCCATAAGCCCTTCGAATTTCAACGGAGGCTTGGGCAGCTGCATTCCCATAGCCATGCCTGGCAAGCTCAGGGAAACGTGAGCGACACACTTCTGAAAAAGTGAAGGCCTATCTCAAGCCTTTAAGCAAGTCTTGTAGTACCACTCGGACAAGTTTACAACCTTTTCAGAACCTCTCCGCCCCGGCACCAGCACTTGCACAAAACAGCTGCACTGTGGGTTTCGAGTGTACCCTGAGGTACCCAACCAACCTGGGACCGGGACACTCACGGACACCTCTGTCAGATTTAGGGCTTTATGGGTCTACAAAGTTGCTTTTCCAAGAAAACACGAGCTGTTTACTTAAATTCTACTGCTCTCCCTGAACTCCAAGTTTAAAGGCCTCAAAAGCGTACCCTCCAAAAAGAGTCACAAGGAAATGTCCAACTTTTCCTGATAGGATCTCAGCACTGCTTAAAAAATAAATAGAACATGTGCACAAATATTGCAACAGACGCAGCTAGGTCCTCCCACTAAGGATCAGGCCTGTCCCTGCGCGAGCTGTATGCTCAGACCCTACCTCCCAGTGGCTCACTTACAGACACAGGGTATCTCAGAGTGCATGGCCTGGCCTGGCCTGGCCTCTCACAGCCACATGCTGTCACCTTGAAGGAACCAGGGGCACCAGGTTTCAATGTTGCGTTGCCAGTTCTCTGTTTGAAACTCGAAATCCTTGGCAACCACCTCTGAGCACTACAATCCTATTGATGATTCTCCTACTTACCTTGGGTTGCGCTCGACGAGGAAATGCAACTTTGGGGTCAATCTGGGGAAAAAATGGAGAAGTGGGAGTCAATTGCAAAATGCTTGGAGGATAGAAAAAAATGCATGATTAATTACCTAATTATTAATCACTCATTTCTCAGGCTTATAATCCAGCTTTTAGTAACTTCTCGGGCAACCCAAAAAGTTTTGTAGACTTGGATCCAGACATTACTGGTTTCTCCCAAAAGGTAATAAACAGAACTAGACTTTCTGAAATACCATGTATTTCAATGTGTGATGCTGTTAACAAACCAGATTTCACGGCCCTTATTGAAGCCAGGGCCTCTCTTCCACTGATACTGAATGGTAACCGGTAGCTGCATCCGGCTAGTCCGCAGTGCGCGGCAAGGAGCAAAGACGGGAACATCATCACTGAAAAAAATCATAACCTGAAAATTCAATGTAAGAATCTTCCAGAAGAAGGTAAACTGGGTGGTATTTCTTCTCCCCTCCTGTGAGAATTAAACAACACAGGAGGGGAAAGGGATTCCAAAACGTTTTTAAATCCTCAGGATCTAAAAACTCCCCATAGACGCCCAACACAATGCTTTGCTTCAATCAATTCCTGTGTTTGTGCAAAAGTTGCCTAAGATTAATCAAAGGGATAGTTTATTCTGTAGTTATAGCTCACAAGAAAACAGGTGTCAAAAAAACTATGGAGCCCAATTTGGTTCTTAAAGTAACAATAATAATAAATTAAAATAAAAAGAAACACATGAGCTAAATCCACCTGGATTTAAAAAATCACAGAGGAAACAAAAAAATCTCTCAACAACCTAAACCCAAATTAGAAAAGAAAGGCCATTAAGAGGAGAGGATTAAAAAAAAAATTACTGAAAAAGCCAGAATGTCATGTAACAATCAGGGTATTCACCTACCCTAACCCCAATCCCAGTGGGAAAACATCCTCTACCCTAGATTAGACCACTTACAAAACACATGAGTCTCAATCAGGGACTGGCTTTAAAATTCAAAACAATTCCCACGGTGGCATCCAAATCTAATAGACTAAGGGAAAAGTTGTTGAATAGAAAATACGGGGAGGGAAGGAATAATAAAATATTCCCATTGTTGGTTTTCATTAGATTTCTAAATGTCATGAGTCTTTGGGTAAAATTTAACATGGAGAGTGGCACGAATATTGCTACAAGTTATTCATAGGCTTTGGCTCTCATATTAAAATTTTCCCCTTTTAAAATGTAAATCTGAACCTTGATTTCAGTTCTGCTATGGGGTTTAAAAAAAAAAAAAAAGTCATGCTCTGGGAACAAGCACAGAGGGAGGAAAGGCACACGACAGATAATTCCTGTTCGCAGACTTAACATCCCTTAGGGCCCCAGCCGGTAAGACACACAACGATCTACCACTTTTATTAAGGTAGTTTAAAGACCTAATGTAAGTCTGCAACGTGTTTGTTTTATACCTTTAAACATCACCTGAGAAATGAGAGATTGTTTTTCCAAAACTAAAAGAGACAAATTTCTGCTCTAGAAAACTATCCTTTCATCAAGATTAACATTACCGCATCTACAGGGGTATTCAGCATTGACTAGAGCTGTCTACAAGAGAAATACAACAGGTGTGGATTTCCATTCTGTTGACCAAACGTAAGACAGATCAGTCTCCTCATAAATACTCCCAAAGTCCTTTTTTTTTTTTTTTTTTTTTTTTTTTTTTTTTTAAGCTGACAGGCACACAATTGCAATAATAAGTCATCTTGTTTGTCAGGTGAAAAGTGAGGAGGGACCGGACATGTGGGGGAAGGAGGCCAGAAGCTGAGGGGATGGAGCAGTAAAGAGAATGAAGCACAAAAAGTATATGTATATATATCTAAAATCACAAAGCTCAAAGCCAATTCCAAATTCCTGTATTGTGTGTTGTGATAACAGCATGTTGTACCACAATGAGAGTTCTTCGGTGTGCTGAGAGAGAAGACAGGTCAAGGTAAGTATGGCAAATCCCAACCTTTTGCACGTCCCTGTCAACTATTTTTTTTTTAACGAACAAAAAAGAAAACTACCAAAAATTAAACATTAGTTAGTTAGGTACAGCTCTACTTACTGTAGCTACAAATCCTCTAGGAAAAGACTAGGGTACTATTTTGGATGTGAATGGCCATTACCTAAACAAAGCTTTTAAGGTAAACAAGATCCTCTGTTTCCATGTCAATAAACCAACCGCTTCTGCCTCCTGCACTGAACGGTTGAAACAAAGTCAAAAGCTATGTTATACTAAATCACAGTGACTAAAACATGTCTACACACAATTAGGGAGGGAGCACTGCAGGCTTTGCACCTGATACCGAGGGACAGGACTCACCAGCCACTGTAGGAACCAAATACTATTTCTCCTACTCAGAATGGGCGGAGGGAGGAGATAATACATTCCTGAATTTGCTTGGAAATATTTGTCCTCTAATTTTACTAGCTTTTTGAAATTATCTAGCCAAAAAGTCAAAGAGTAAAATAATTTTCCAAATATCTATTATCAATCTACAAATGATCATCCCTGAAATTAGATGACTTAAAAGTGCAAAAAGGCTGGGCCAGGGGCTATGGCAAATCCAGCAATTACTAAAGCAGCTTAGAGTGTTTGGGTCTTTTCTTGGGGAGTAGGGGGCCATGCACCTCACCTCTGATCAAAGAAAGAGAGAGTAAACTTGCAAAGTCAAGGCAGGTGCACCAAAAGTGGCCAGGTTTGGGGTTTGTTTGTTTTTTTCCCTTCTATTCAATGTTAAAACCAAAAGGGACTTAGAAGATCACCTCAGTTCCTCTCCTTTATTCTAGAGAAGAGGAAAAGTGAGGCCAGAGGCAGAAAACAACTTTCCCAAGTTCAGAAGGGGCAACTGGGACTAGAACTGGATTGCTTGCCTTGCCCCACTACCCCACCAGAAAAGTGAAGTCTCAAGCAGCCCAGCACTGCATCCAATGTCACCTCAGGGCCCCTGCTTTGGCATATGTATAAAAACCATGGGGAAATTCTAGAAGACATAAAGTAAAGGGAGGCGAGCACAGAGCCAACACAGGGGTCTAAATAAATCACTACACATACAGCCCCTCCCATTAAATGTGTTATCATACACTGATACTCTTTCTCCCCTTCTTCTGACCACCCAAGACCTCCCCGCTCCCCCAACACCAGGCTTGAAAATCTCATAATGCTATAAAAGTACCCACACCCAGAATAAAGGATCCGAGAAAGAAAGGGGGAAAAAAATCACTTTGAAACCCAAGGCCTTATCAGCCTTAGATTTCACGCCATCTGGAGCCACCCACTGGATGCCCAGCTTGGCCCTGGGAGTGCCTCCTTTCCTCCTCAAACCCCATTTCAAATCCGCAGTACCCCGAAAGGAACCTGTTGCCTGGCCAGGGATTAGCCCCCCTCCTCCTGCCCAGTCCCCCTGGGCCAGGAAGCTGGCTGTGCCTTCTGAAAGCCAGTTCCCACAGCCCCAGTTGGTAACGTGTGCTATACTCCCCTGACAAAGAAAAGTTGCCTTTGCTCAGTAGTGCAGTTTCTCTGCACGGTCCCTTGGCCCTGAAAATACGCCCCCGCCTCCAGGCCGACCCCTCCTCCAAGCCTAGTTTGGCAACAACTAGGATTACTGTGAAACAGTCTCAAAAAAGAAAACCCCAAACCCAGCGATGGTGGCAAACTTTAGTGCCAACTCCCGAGCTCTGCTTAAAAGTACCCGGCTCTCAGCACAGAAGTAAAAGAAGGCACTGTCCCTTTAAATGGGGCTGTCAATGTCCAGATCGGTCCTGAAAAGGGGCGAACAACAACAGCGACGACGACGACGGCGACGACGACGACGAGGACGACAACAGAAAAGCAACCTACCGTCTTGGAATCTAACTCATGGTGGGGCTGACCTAATACTTTATCTACACTTGCTGGGTCTGCGAACGTGACGAAACCGAAGCCTCTGAAATGAGACAAAGAGGGAGAAAAACAAACAAGAAAATGTGACACCACTGAAAGCAACAGGGAGTGAGCCCTACTGCAGAATGGAGAGCAAAAGTTGCCCCCCCCCAGTCCCCCCACACCCCGCCTCCAAACCCCCTTCAGTCTACAGCCCCTCCATCTCGCAGGAAAATACAACAAGGTTAACGGGGGAAGTGGAACGGGGGCAGGGCTGGTGGAGGTAACTTGGAAAAAGCTGGTGTCTCCACTCTTTCGCCACCTCAGTTTCCTCTCCTCCTCCTCCCCTTCCCTTTCTTAACGCTTTGTTTTATCCCGATGAAAACACGGCACTTAGAAGAGATTCATCCAGCTTTCTAAGAGGGGCTTAAGAGTTTGGGGAGCTTGGAGTGGGAAGAAGCGTACATTTTTAAAAACTGTGGAAAGTGAATGAAGCCGAATGTCATTTTCAACAGGAGAAAGAGAAGCGACGGGAAAATGACTTAAGGCGGAGAGATGGGTATCTCTATTCAGACAGAGTTCAAGCCCCAATTTATAATAACCTTTGAGGTTATGGGGGTGGGGGTGGAACAGAGCGGCGTTCGAAACCAGCCACATGCCTGAGCCCCATTCTAAATCCGCTTAGCTACTTCCGAAGACACCTCCAAAAATAACACTTAAACTTTGTTCTAAAATAAAGGCAAAATCCAGAAGGGAATGGTTTACCTGGAGCGTTTCGTAGTGGGATCTCTCATGACCATACATTCTCTAATTTCTCCAAATTTGCTAAAATAGTCTCTAAGGCTATCTGTAGAGAGAAAAAGAGAGAGATGGGGGGGCGGAGAAGGTGTGGGGGAAAAAAGCAATGCAAATTTTGATCAAGGACAAAAACCAAAAGTAGTTTTCTGTTGTTATTCTGTTTTGTTTTTTGCATTTTTTGCACACGCGGGGGAAATTCGGCTACAGAGGTCGCGTAGAGGGCTCGGAAAGGATTTGCTATTTAAAAAAATAACCTTGCACAGGAGAAGTGGGGAGCCAATGGCGGGGGGGGGCTCCTACACCGGGATAACAAAGAGCAATAAAGAAGCCAAGAAGGGGGGGACCCAGGCGTCCCCCCCTCCCTCCCTTACCTGGTGAGGTCTGCCAGCTCAGTCCACCGATAAACATTTTACTAGAGGGAGAAAACATAACAGAAGTGAGCACCGATGTCAGATCGGCCATTTTGACGTGTAACTTACAAAAGCTAAAAGGAAAGCGGGGGGGAGCGAGCAAGCGAGAGCCGGGAGGTGGGGTGGGGGAGAAGGTGACGGCGAAATGCAATCCAAAGGTGTGTAACTTCCACGGGGGGGGCGCGCGGGAGGGGCGGGGGGGCGCGGGAGATGCCGGGCTCCGCGCACCGCCGTCCCCGCCGCTGCAAGGAGAGCGAGCCCGAGGCGGCGCGGTGGGCAGCGGCTGGAAACTTACCCGGGGTCGTGCTGGGAGTCGTTGGCGCTGCCCGAGGTGCCTTGGCTCCCATTTGCCTCCATATCTGAGCCCCCCCGCCCCCCCACCCCCAAAAATCCGAGCCCCACAGCGATCGGAGCGGAGCGGCGGCCGACTCCGAGCCCCGAGATCTCCCGCTCCCTCCTCCCCCTCCTCCTCCTCCCCCCCGCCCGGGCTCCTCCGAATCTCTCTGCGAGCGGCGGAGCCGGGGCAGCGGCGAGAGCCGTCACACGTGGGCTCGGCTTAGCTCAGCCCTGCTGCTCGCACACCCCCCCCGTCCCCGCCCCCCCGGCCCATCCCCACCTCTCCCCCTCCTCCTCCCCACCCCCATCTCCTCCTCCTCCTCCCCCCTCCTCCCCGGCGCACGTGGGGCGGAGTTCTATAACGTCGTGTAACCAATGCCGGTGACGTCACGCACCCCGGTGCGGCCCCCGCCTGTCCGCGCGCGCACAAGCGGCCCCCCGCGGCCGGACCCACGGGGGCGGTGCGCGAACCCCGTCGCCCGAGGGGGCCCCGCCTCCGGGCGGTCCGGGCGCCGGGCATGAGAGAGCGCACCCCGACTTTCTTGGATCACATGGGCTGCGAGGAGCGGGTGGATCGGGGGAGGGGGAGGCGCGGGAAGCTAGCGGCCGATCCTCAGTCGGGCTGGGTAGAAAACGACCCCCGCTAGTTCGGCCTCTCCATTCAAGTTCGCTGGCCGCGGCCGCCAGGATCCGGGGATGGCACCAGACGCCCGCCCGGCTCTGCGCCCTTTTTCCAGCCACCGCGCAGAAATTTAGGTCAAGGACGTCGGGATCAAACCCAAACCCTGGCGCTCCTCGGGAGGACCCCGAGACCCCCCAGAATCGAGGGGCTTCAGGATTGCCGAGACCCTCTCACATAAACACCAGCCACAAGTTTTATTTTCCTTTCGCGCTGGAAGTTCTCTTTGGCTCTCGCTGCACACCGGCACGTCTTGCGCCGCTCCCCGCCCTTCCCCGGCAGAGGTACGAATCCGTGCCCGGGAAAGGTTATTTTGGAACTTTGAGAAACTAACGCGATTCCAGGGGTGAGAAAGTGCCGAAGGAAGGGTTTCCGCGCTAATCATAGAGCGTTTTAAAAAATAATAAAATAGGTTTATAGGGGGGTCAAGGTCAAATTATGGGGGCTCGAAGCAAAATTTTGTAGTTTTGAAGCGTCTCTGGGATGGCAGAGAAGGGGGCTATTTCAGGAAACTCCTCTCCAACTCTTACCGTATACTTTTAGTATGTGTATACCAAGATAGTAAAATGCTTGCGATTAAAATAGTGCAGGCCCCCCCCCGACCATCTGAGGAGGTGGCTACGGGTAGCCCTTCTCCCCCGCAATGCGCCACCTTAGGAGCTGTGTCCGCTGCAGATTCTAGCACACAGTAGGTGCTTAATAAATACTGGCTTCATCCCTTCCCGCCCTGAAAACTCCAAAAAGACAATGCTGGTAGCTTCCCAAAGGCACCTCACACTTCTCCATCAGATTCCAGGCTGGTCACATTCAGGCTGGATTCAGTTTATGGGGTATTTAAAACAATTATCCCTATTGTTTTAAATTATTACAATAAATTGAGTTAATATGGCATGAATTGATGCCCAGTTAACACTTTTCCATTAAATTGTCATAGGATTAGGACACAATGGAATACACTCAACACCAAAACTGTACTAAATCCACTGTGGGTCTTGGAAAAGTGGAAGGTTTGGAAACTCTAAACACCAGCCAAAGCCCTGGTTGACTAGACTCTTAATCTCCCTTTTTCCTAAATTGGGATAATTCCTCCCTGTCAGGATTGATGGGGTGAGAGGAGGGAGTGAAGTGAGCAAATATAAAAGTGGCTTTTTCACTGTAAACCTAGAAGGGTCATGCTTATTATCAATCATTATTCCATATGACTTTTAGAAGGTGCTCGAAAGCTTTATACCACAAGCCTAAGCATTTTCTGTAACTTCAAGCTGCTTCCTAAATCATCTGGGGTCTCATGTATTTAAGAGCCAGTTGTTATTGCGATAATTGTGTATTATGATTATTCTCAATAACAAAATTTAGACAACAGGAAATTGGATTGTGTTTGGAATTTTTTTATGCTACAACTACAGACCATCGAAAGGTAGAAAGGCCTTTCCTGATCCAACCCCTCATTTTACATCAGGGTCCCAGAGGAGCCAAGTTCACCAGACTGTAACCCTGCCCGGACCAGTCAGCTCCAAAAAGGGGTTCTGGCCATCAGTACAATGCCCTTTGGCTCTGCTGCCTGCTTCCTTATTCTGTCCTTCACAAGGCAAGAGTGGGGTGCCCTTGCTCCCTGTTGTGGACTTACACAAGCTGACAATGAACTGAATTGAAAACCTGAGAGGGGCTAGCACTGCAGCTACAAAGTCAGTGAGAGAGCTAGAGCTTAAATCTCCATGTTTACTTACTTATTTTTAACTTACATGCAATAACATTTACTCTTCGTGGTCTATAACTTTAGGAGTTTTGACAAATGCCTAGAGTCTGGTAACGACCACCATAACCAAGATGCAGAAGAGTTTCATTGTCCTGAAAAATCCCCTCCTGCTGCCCTCTTCACTACATTAATTATAATAGCTTATTATTGTTGTTATGCATTTCTTCTCCAGCTCACTCCCTTGGTGTAGCCCCTGGGTGAGGAGAATGCCGGAAGCACCATGTCAGTCCTCTACCTCTTAAAATCTCCACAGCCCATGACACTGGTGGACACTCGCTTCCTGTAACTCACTTTTTCCTTGGCGTCCATGATGCCCACGCTCTGGTTCTCCTCCTATCTCTCCAGCCATTCCTTCTCTGTCTCTTTGCCCTGACTCGTTCTCTGCCTTTCCTTTAAATATTGGGGTTCATTCTTTCTCCCAGCTTCCCACCCTATCTGGGCGAGCTCCTCTGAGGGATGGGTTTAAATACCACTGACATGCTGGTGCCACTCAAAATCTTCAGCCTGACCTCCCCACAGAGCTACAGCCCCTGGTTAACTTCCTATCCAACATCTGCACTTAGCCTTCCTAAAGTTCCCCCAAACTCAACATGTCCAAAATCTTGCTTTTTTTCTCCTAAATCTGAACCTCTTCTAAGGTTCCCTCTACCATCCTAGAGACAAAATTGACCCTTCTCCAGGGTGGCAGCTTCCCAAGTGCAATCTATCACGAAAGTCTGTAGGATGCGGTATTTCGGTCTTCCTAAACATCACTCAAATTCATCTTTCCGGCTACTGCATCCCAGACCTCCCACTTGAGCCCTTGCAGCAGCCTCCTAAACATCCTTCCCTCACTCATTCCTATTCCACTGAAGTGCCTGGAAGGCTTTCCCTAACCTCTCTGACCAGGTCAGATACCCCTTGATGTGCACTGTTGTCATCCTGCCAGAATGTCCTCTGTGTACCTTACCCTGTGTGATCATTTGCTTTATTGCTCATCTCCTCCCACAAGCCCTAATCCCCAGTCCATTTCTGCTCTCCACGTATTAGCACAGTGCCTGTTGGTGCATGGTGGATGCTCAATAAATATTTGTTGAATGACTGAAAGGGTGAATGAATGAATGAAGGTCAACATCTAATTTCATTATAGGATTTTTTTTTTTGTATTCATGTCTATGAGTCAAATTGGCTATAATTTTTTCTTCTTGTATTGCATTTGTCTGGTTATACTGGCCTCATAAAATGAACTGGTAAATGTTCCTTCTTTTTCCATTTTCTGGAACAGTGTGTATAAAATTGGAATGATGTGTTCCTTGCATGTTTGGTAGAACTTGCTGGTAAAATGTCTGGGTCTGGGATAAACATTCCCTAGGTTGAGTTTTTAACTACTGATTCTATTTTTTTTAATGGCTATGGATCTCCTTAGGTTTTATATTCTTCTTGAGTCAAGTTTTACACATCATCTATACCATCTAGGTTTTCACATTTATGAATAAAATGCTGTTTATAGTTTTCTCAATATATTTTCTCTGCTGCATCTGTCCATAACATCGATTTTTTTTCACTCCAAATATTATTGGATATATATCTTCTCTTTTCTGGATCAGTTGTGCCAGAAATCTCCCTTTTTTATTTAACTAGCGTTTCTACGTTCTACTAGTGTTTTCAAAGAATCAACTTTTAGTTTGGTTAACAGTTTTCTCTCATTAACTTTCACTTTTATATATTATTGATATACCTTATATTCTTATATATAAGAACATAGATCTAAGAATATATATAATATATAAGATATGTAGTATATTACTAATACATATTGCCTATTATTTTCTTCTCTCTTTGGGTTTATTTTGTTGCCTTTTGAAAAATTTCTTGAATCGGTGGTTTAAGTAATTAATTTTCAGCCTTCTCTCTCTTTCTCTCTTTTTTTAACATGTAAGGCTACAGATTTCACTGCGGGTACCATTCGAACTACATTCCACAAGTTGTACAGAATTTTTCTTATCACCCCAAGCAAGGGATATTTAGATTTCAAATATGATTTCTCCTTTGGCTCACTACATGTGTTTTTTCACATTTCTAAATGTGTTTTTGTTTTGGTTTTTAGTTAGTCGTGTTTAACTTAACTGAATTCAGGCCAGAGAAGACAGTCTGCAGGTATTTGTTATCTGTGGAGTCTTACTTTGGTAAATGGTAAGCTTTTCAGAAATATTCCATATGGTTTTGCAAAGAATATGTATGCCTTAATTGTTAAGGGTAGCACCCTGTTTTGGTCTATTAAATCAAGCCTGTTAATTACGGTTTTCAGATTTTCTATAGCCTTACTAATGTTTTGTTTGCTTGATCTATCACTTTTTATAATGGTACATAAAAATCTTATATAACTGAATTTGTCCATTTCTCCTCTAAATCTCTCAAATTTTCCCAGAGAGGTAAATTATTTTTAAAATATGGACAAGTACATAAAAAAAAAAAATCTATGTGCATTTTCCTCATTTTGTTTCTCTTTTTGCTTTATGTATTTTGAGGCTATATTATTAGGTATATACAAGCTTGGATATTCTTTGTTTTCTAAGTGAACTGTTTCTTCAATATATGCACAGATGATCTTTAAACCTA